AAGAAAGAAAGAAAGAAAGAAAGAAAGAAAGAAAGAAAGAAAGAAAGAAAGAAAGACAGGAAGAAGGAAAGGAAGAAAGAGAAAGAAGGCGAGGAAGCGAGGAAGGAAGGAAAAGTGCCAGACTTCTGAATAGATGAAGACTTCAAAAAGAACTTTTTTTTTTTTTTTGGAGGGTTTGATCATTACAAGATTTCAGCTCCCTGTTGCTATAAACCAAGCTATTATCAGCTAATGTTAATGAGAATTTGCAATTTACTTTGAATTACATGGATTATTGCTTAATCCACATAGTAACTTTATCAGGTAGATGTTATTATCTCCTGTTTTCCTCATCTGTAAAACAGGAGACAGGGGTACATAATCTGACTCATATCACTTTCCCAATAAAAAGTAGGGTTGGGATATTAACTTGGAGGGAATCTGACTCCAAAGTCTACGTGATTAACCACAATGCTGTACTGCTCCCCAAGGAGCTGGGAGGGAAAAATCTAGCCAGACATTAACCCTTTCTACCGCCTGCACAGGGATCATTCAATTCTAGGGATAGCCTCTGAATGCAGGGCCACAGTGTACAGTTCTCCGGGTTGTGCACTGGTCAAACACGTGCACGGCTAAGGGGATGCCGTTCACGTTGCAGATGTGTTCTAACTTCTGTGGGAGGCTATAGGTGTTTGTGAAGATATTGAGCTCCAGGCCTGGAGCTCATGGCCAAGTACTGGGATAACAGCGCACGCGGCTGTGCACGTAGCAACAGCGCATACACACGACTGCCGTGTCCCAGCCCAGGCACCTGTGGCGTTGCTTCTTTTCCTCTCCTCTTGCTTTCAGTGACTCGATTCCTATCCCACCCTGGAAGAGGGAGTACACAGAGGTGCACGCTGTCACCAATGGTTGTTCAAACTGTGCAGCAATGTACCAGCTGAATTTATTTTTTTCTTAAGGAAGAAATGTCCTATCTAGTTGGCCTGAGAGTGCTATGTTGTCTATCCAGGGTCCTGGTGAGGGTCCTTAACTATAGTCTGCAGTACTTCTCTCCCCTGGAGCCCCTTAGCTGTTTAGTGCTTGGGTAGTGCCAGCCATTTTAATGTCAGTTTAAAACCAGCAGATGTATATAGGCAGATCACATCATTTACAAGAAAAATACACACCCATGAAATATTTTCCAAAAGGAATTCTTGGGGGATTTTTTAAGTGCGTCATCCATCTGAATAAGCCACACTTAGTGTTCTCTTTCTATGGCGATCATCTCATTTCTGTATGGTGCTTTGTCTAGGGCATTAAATAGTAACTACGAGGTGTGCACTTGAACTGGAGTCAGTGACCCAAACCGCCTCTGTTTGGGAGTTGAAGGAGCCAGGTCAGCTAGGAGGCCCCAGCTGCCAGCCAGACAGCAGGGGAATTCCTCTCCTGAATTTTCTCTCCTGTCCAGGTTGTTGCATCACTTGTCTGGGAGAGACCTGAATGGCCAGGATAAGCTGGGGCATCCCGAAAAGCCTGGGACCCTGGACTGGATGGGTAATGAGAGGTAGAAGGATGTGGATCTGTGTATTTTCCTTGAAGCTACTGTCACCACCCTGGAAAAGTTCTTCAGGAATAAGTGACAGTAAGAACGACAAGGGACCAGGACTGGCTCTCTCCTGCAAGAAATAAAACCCAAGGCCTAGGATGAAGTGACTTGCTGCAGGCTGTGGAGAGGTGAATGCAGAGTTTCACCTTGCACTGCAATCCTCCAGAGCCAACTCCAACGGCTTTCCAACACCAATACTGTCTTTTTGGTCTCCAGGTTTAAAGAGAAGACTAGAAGACGTCCAACCACCAGCATCTCAAAGAGAGGGAAAGAAAAGTCCAGGTGGACTTGATATCTAGACTGAGATGGGTGGAGAAGCCCCAGCTAAGCCTGGAGAACAAAAGGTGAGATGAGGCTTTCTCCCCAGAGGTTGGGGGCTTGTCTCCGAATGTGGAATGTGGGTGGTGAGTTGCAGCAGCTGTCAGGCACGCATTCAAGTGCCACTCACGGAGCAGCTGGGCTCCCTCCAGGAGGTCAGAGAAGATTCTGGAGTTCAGGTCACAGCAACTCCTTCCTAACTCCCTACTCTTTTGCTCACCCCCACTCTCCCTCCCATCAGAATGCATGATTCCTTAGAGGCCCCTGAATAATTTAGAACCAACAAATGCTAGAAAGTGAAAGAAACAGGGAGATCATGCAGTCAAAGCTCTTCTGTTGCAGTGGAGAGGAAAGACACAAGTTCAAGGTCATTCCATCAGCCACAAGCAAGGCAGGGCCTCCTGAGTCCTGGATCTATGCTTGTCAGTCTAAACCACACTGGCTTCTTCCTTTCTTGTCTTCTGCCCCAAGGGTCGGGGGATAAGAGAGAAGTGGGGCTCGGGGCAGGAGGCAGTGGGGATTTGGGGAGTCATACACCAGTCTGTGCTGAAGTTGAGGTAGATGCTCTTCCCAGCAAAACCGAGAGATAAGAGAGCTCTTCACTGTGACCCTCATCCCCGAAAATGCCTTGCACCATAACAGAAGCCTGTGGCCCCAGGCTACTATCTAGGTAGGGCTCCCTGTCTCCTGGAGAAAGGTTTTGTGAAGGTCGTTGCTGAGTGGGAGACTTGGAGACATTCTGTTGAACGCTATCCTGCAGCCTCCAGTGAAGGCTGATAACTCTTTGAAAACATTTTATCTCGCACTCCGTGCTTCCTCATTGCTCTTCAGAGGTGGAGAGGTGGCTGCCCCACTGGACTTCAGAACTGGGCCATGTGGTGCAGAGACTTTGGCCCCAACATGTGCTACATTAGCTCTTTAGAAAAACTAGCCCAGAGGTCTGGACGCCAGCCTCAGAATTAGCCTTGGACTTGGTGAATATTAATCAAACAAAGAAATAGGTGCCGGCACACTTGGGAGGGCCTCCAGATGAGGGCAGGAGGCCAGGAGCTCTGGAAGGCAGGGAAGGCCTAAGGCTGCCACGGCAGCGCCCAGGACGGTGGAGTTGCCGCAGGAGGCACGGAGGAGGCATGAGGGGCCTGCGGACTTTTCCAAGTCTGACCACTCCTGGGGCTCTACCTGGATAGAGCAGGCAAAGGCTTTGGTGGAGATGGCTGGACAGAGTCAAGCTGTGGTGACAACTTGCAGCTACAGGACTGACCCACGGTCTCTACTTTTCTCTTGTTCTCTCCTCTCTCTTCCTTCCTCCTTTCTTTCACCTCCCACTCTCACTTCCCTCTCCCCCTTCTTCAACTTCCTCTGCCCTCTTCCACCCCCCTCCACTCCCCTTTCTCCTCCTGTAGCCTATGTCCCAGACTGGCCAGCGGCCTTGTGTGGCCCAGCTGGGGAAGGGGGGCAAAGGGCTCGTGGGCCAACCAGTGACTGTTAGCGCCTCTTCTTGGCATTGGTGCCATATGCATTAGAGTTGGAGAGAGGGAACAATGGCTACTTCAGTTTGTATATATATATTTTTATCTATCTATATATATATATATATTTTATCTATACATCCCAAGAACTGCAGGCAGTAGATAGATTGAAAGAACAGATTTTTAATCAATCAAAAAGCACCCATGAAAACTCTATGGAGACTACAAAAGAAGCATAATGTACAATTTCTGCCTTTATTCATCAGCAGGCAACAAAAGACTACTAAAGGGGTCAAATATAGGGGGAGAGGGGAGGGTGAAGTGGGTAAAGGGGATCAAATATATGGTAGCTAAAGGAAACTGGACTTTGGGTGGTAAACACACAATAGGACATACAGATGTCAAATTACAATGTACACCTGAAAATTATATAATTGTATTAACCAATGTTACCTTAATAAACTTAAATTTTAAAAAGGAAAAAAAAAAAGACTATTAAGCTGGGATCAGTATGATGTCCACTAAAAGGGTGGTCAGGTCTTGCTCACAGCAGCTGTGCATGGTCTGCCTACACTGTGCTGGATCTTGCTTTAGAGCCTGGAAGTGACAGATGAGACCTATCGTCCTGTCCTCAAGGGCTCCCCAGGCCAGTGGAAGAGACCAGAGCAGAGGGAAGATCGGTGTGAACCGGGGGGGGGCACGACTTTTAGAAGTGAACCGTGCAGTTGCGAAGGATCCCTGTGCAGATAAGCACTTGGGCTGAGCATCAGTCTTTAACTCTCTGTTACTGACCAGAGGCACACTTTCGGTGAGACAGAAAGCTTCTCTCTGGGAAGTCTGTTCCCCTGCAAAAGAGAAGGGGCGAAGAGACAAGTGAAAAGGAGTCGCTCTGTGCCAGGCACCTTGTTGGCACTTCCAACACAATTTCATTGACATTATGCAATAAGCCTGCACAGATTCTCCCTTTCCCTGGAGAGGAAACAAATCTCTGACACAGAGTAACCTTTCCGCGGTCCCATAGTGCTGGCTCAAGTCTAAACTTCCAGCATGTAGTCTTTCCCCTACACAATGCTCCCCCAGTTCAGAGCTCCACGCCGGCAAGTGAGTATGGAGACTGTAATCCTACAGAGAGGCCAGTTTGCCTCTTCTGAACACAGAAATCTCCAGGGTTGGGGAAGTTTTAGCCTTTGGTGGTGGTCACACAGACCAAAGGTGCCTGCGTGTGAGCATGGAGTCCTGCTTCTCTCAGAGAAGGTAGTCTCTGTCTTGCTCTTAGATATATCCAACCCAGCCCCAGCGCTGAGCAAACTGAGATTCCAAGGTGCTTGCCCCAAGTCCCACTGCAGCTCACGGCAGCTTCTCACTTGCCCCCTCTCAGCCTCTACATTTATAGTGTTTTTTGCAGGTCACCAACCAGAGGGCAGGATGGAGAATGCCCATCCTCCTCATACTGTGCCTGCTGCAAGGTGAGTCCCAAACACAGCCCAAATGCAGAGCTTGCGAGACCAGACCCGAGTTTTCCAGGCTGCAGAGACCCCTGCCAGGTGCCTTGGTGGCATTCAGCCCTCCCTCAGCAGTTTGGGCATATCCATGGCTTTCTCTCCTGGGATCTGAGGCCATGCGGTGGATCCAGGCAGTGGTCAGATCTGGGCCCAGGGGGAGTGAGGGAGGCGAGAGCTCACAGGAGAGGTCACATGCCTGATCTGATGACTTCTAGAATATTCACTGTTTCGATAGTCCCTATTTTCCACTCTATTCTATTCAAGTTGACGACTGAGAGTCAGCTGCATTTGTAAGGGTTCCAGGGTGTGTGAAAGACAGCCGTAGCACTGCTCCATGACCACTCATTCTAAAAGCACTCAAGTGCCTGTCCCAGTACAAAGGACATCAAGATGAACACCCTGCCCTACTCTAAAGGGTTTGGAGTCTACACAGAAACTAGAAGGGTAAATAAAAATTGTATTTATTACTAGTCCGCACACATTTATAGAGAGCCTACCATGTGCCAGGCACTAGGGACAGATGGATGAAAGATAGGTCCCTGCCCTAAATGTCCTAGCAGGCTGGTGAAGTGAGGCTGGCCAGGCTCAGATGATAAATAGCTCTGTCATCATGCTGTGGTGTCTGGATTTTATTTTGATGGTAATGGGAGCCAATGAGGAAAGTAGTGAGTATGCTCCTAGAGAATCTGGTACCTAGAACCTAGTCCCAAGTAGATATTTAACAAATAATTGTTAACAAATAACTGTTGAATAAAAATGCTATGATAATACCCCCCAAAAATTTAAAAAATATTAACAACTGCTTTTGCTTATAAACAAATCAGAGTTTTAATGAATCAAAGGAAGCGAATATTTGAGCAAGAATTTTCTGTGATATAATCACACCATCTCTATTTTAATATTTCACTGCCCCCTTTAAAATTTTTCGGTGGAAGCAGGCTTCCCCCGCCCCAAATGAAAACTCAGGCAGCCCATGATTTTCATGCTGGCGTATATATAACAGTCCTAACTTAATTCCTTTAAGTTTTAAACATTCTAAATTTCATAATTTTAAGTGTTCATTTAAATATTTTAGTCAGCACTTCAATTTTCATTCAAAGATATGTCACCTCATGTACCTAGCCTGCAGTCAAAAAGGCGGGAAGCGGTGAGGGCCATCTTCTCCCTTCCCCTCCTCCTTCTCTCTAACTTGGCGGCTGGCCCTTGGACCCCAGCAGGGTCAGAGGCAGGAGGGAGAAGCAGCAGAAGCCAGGCAGCTGTATGCGTCAGGATGGCAGAGAGCTCCCTGGCCTGGCAGAGGTTTAGAGCTAGCTCTTCCTCTTGTGTCTTTGTGGACTCTTACATGGCCCCCTGATGGCCCGTCTCCTCCCTGTGCCCTGGATCTGCTTTGGCCTCTCCACACAGAAGACCCCATCTCGGGTGGCTATGGGCTGGCTCTCTTCCCTCCAGGCTCTACCTCTGTACCAAGAACACACTCACACCTTTCTCACCCCTCTGCTGGTAGGAAGAGAAATCCATGGCAGTTGCTGGCCCTACAGTCCTGGTCCTGCTCAGACCTCCTGCACTTTCTCAGTCCAAGCCAGGCTCAGTCGTGGCCTCTCTCCAACTGCAGGCCTCACTCACCCTCCCCGATAGAAGCCACAGCAATAGACAACCACTGGGAAATGGTGGGCAAATGGGAGCAGGGGCACCCCCTCCATCAGAAGGCAGGGAATTAGCATCAGGGACCCCAAGTGGATGCCACATGGACCCTAAAATGCTTCTTTAGTTCTCACAGGTGACTAATAATAAATTCCAAAACCTTAATTATGAATAACTAAGAGCTGCTGATCAGCAATCCACCGAATGAGTTTTAAGGGTCGGTAAAATTCAGTATTAACAGTAGAAACACACGTGAGTTGCAGGACTCGATTAAGGGCTCCCCGCCAGCTTTCCGCCAGCGAGTCGGACCACGTCATCCGGACAGTTCACAGGGAGGTGCTCCTCTCGCACGTGCCACGTGTAGATCACGCGAGGTCTTGACGTCTGGGGTAGGGACACTTTGTCAGGGCACCATCTCTGTTGTCCCGGGATGGTCCTTGTTTGTCATTGTGAATACTCTTCCCTTTTACTGATAAACTGTCGCTTAATTTTATCAATAGTTGCATAGTTGTTGGTCTATCATTTAGTTAAACCTGCACTGAGTGTTGATACATCCATAGCATTTATGGCCTTGACTCTTCCTAAAATTAGACCTCAAGACGTATGCAACAGGCAGCACCAGCTTCACCGGCATGTGGCCCTGGGCAGTCACATGGGGCCCTGTACTCAGAAGGTGCTTGCTTGGTTTAATGCTCTGCTATGACCATAGCAAAATCCTTAATAACTTCTGAACAAGGGGTCTTATATTTGTATTTCTCACTGGGCCCCACAAATTATGTAGTCAGTCCTGGTACCAGGATATCAAACTGAACTTTCTTGGGTTCAAAGGTGCTATAGACATAGAACAGACTGATAGATATGCCAGGCACCTCATCCTAAAGCAAGGTGTTGAGCCACCTGTGCAGGATTATAGAGAGAGATTCCAAAGCTAGCCATTCCCACAATAGCCCACCACGTAGCCACCTGAGGGTATAGACGAGCTCACTGTGGGAGCCAAGTAAGAAGAAACTTCTACAAAGCCACTCAACAAGCTTGCCATATGTCCAAGTTTCTCCTGACATCAGGATAAAGGTGTGCTTCCTTGGCTTGGGGCCTCCACCAGGAGGGTCACCCAGAGGGGATTGTGACCATAAAAAGCAGCAGGTGGCAAGAAGTCATAGGTTTGGTGGTATTTGGAGGAGTCCCGGGAAGCCAGCAGGAGGAGAGGTAGTTCTTACAAGGAAGGAACTGCAGCCAGAGGCCATAGGAAGGAGGTTTGGGAGGAAAAAGACAAGGCAGCAGCTCTGGGTATCTGCAATGCCTGGAGGAACCAGGAGCAGACCACCACTGCCCCACTCGCCTCTCCTCTCTCCCCTCCATGCTCAGTCCCAGAGGGGCTTAAAATAGCAGTTTTGAGTAGAGGAAGAGGCAAAGCAAAGCAAGGGACCCCAGCATGCGCCTGTCCCCCACGCAGGCCTCCAAGCCCCTGAGAGAAAAGAAAAGGCTTCGATTGGATCAGAGACTGGAGCTGCAACCAGCCATTGGGCTGGACTGGATATATAATTTTAGTCTAGACTGGCCTTTTTCTTATCCACATGAGACTATAAAAGTTACTATATATGAAACAATGTCTGAGATTTCATCAAGGAACAGAGAAGTCCACAGAGTGAGTGTGAAGAGGCGGTAAGAGAAAGAATAAACTTGGCTTCTGCCTGCCAAGTTTACTAAGTCTTTTAGTAAACAGGCCACATGGTGTGGTTCAACTACGGTTTACGCCTAGTGCCAAAGCAGACGTAAGCACAATACTGCTCACGTGGGCCTTGACCGTGGCTCTTGGTTGTGTTTCCTTCTACAAAAAAGTGGCCATCATGAACGGTTTTGCCACCACTGGTCTAGGGAGGTAACCACCGAGCAGACAAGGATCCTTGTGTTCCAGGGCCCCCTCCCTTCTGCAGAAAGCACGCTGATCTGTTCTCACTCTTTAACATCTCTCTTTTACGTCCCATGCACATAAACCACAGTCCTCTGCCAGATGTTGCCTCTGTCCTCTTACCAGTGTTTAGATGACAGCTTTTCGAACATCTGCATTTGGGGCACAGTGGAAGGAACCCAGGCTCTGGACGGACTTGTCTGAGAATACCTGGCACACAAGTGTTAGCTAAATCATGGCTAAGATTATTTTTGCATGTCTGTCTCTTAAATGGGGCCTTGAATACAGCTCCATTCCATATCTTGGGGCTACCCCTGACCCAGGAACTAAGTTCTGACGTTTCTATATTGATTCTTCTGTGCCTCATTTCAAGAAGGCATTTCTTACCTGCCCCCTAATTCTGGCAGAATGTGGAGCTTGTAGCTCCCCAGACACAGTGACTATACTCAGCTCTCCTCCTTGTATTTTCTTCTCTGCCTGCAGCTGTAAACTCTTTGAGGGGCCCAAGGCTAGTGTCTGGGAAGCCTGGGGACACTGTCACCTTCCAGTGCCATTACAACCCCTCGTTCATCAACGGGCTCCAGAGGAAGTACTGGTGTCGCCTACGCCCCCTGACGTGGCTCTGCCCCACCGTTGTGTCCACCAACCACTACACTCACCTGCACTATGGTGACCGTGTGGCTCTATCAGACTTCCCGCAAAATGGCTTCTTTGTGGTGACGCTGTCCCAGCTGTCCCCGGAAGATGTGGGGTCCTATCGCTGTGGCATTGGAAACAGAAACGACGTGCTGTTCTCCAGCATGAACCTGACCATCTCTGAAGGTAGGGGCTGATGACCGGTGGGTCAAGGTTGGTGAAGTGAATGCCAGGAAGAAGGTGCAAGAAAACGGAGAGGTCCAAGAGGGTTTTAACCACCGGGGGTGTGATGAGGAGAAGCTGGGGCAAGGCAAGGACTTTAAGAAGAAGGCTTTCATCTCTAAGGAAACTGGTCTCAGAAGGAAGGTAGATGTCAGGGCAAACTTTCCAACTGAATGAACACCAGCTATCCCGCCAGATTCCTCCCAAATGTGTAGCTTGTATATCTAGAAAGCATTTCAAGAAGGTAGCGAATTGGATAATGTAGTTGCTTTAGGTCACAGTGTCTCTTTGTTTAGACAAGCAGAGGAAGTAAGACAGACAGGACAGAGGAATAGGGACTGGGCTCTTCCTAAGACTGAGCCCCTCGGCAGATACCTGACAGTTACCAGGTCCATCCCTGTGTGGCAGGTTCCAGAGAACTGATCCAGAGTCAGGCACCCAGAGTCCAGGCTATGAAAGGCCAGCCTACCGGAGAGATGGCATTTGAGGGAGCAGGCAGGCACAAGTGCCTGAGAGTGGACTTGTTTTATTAGATGTTGACATCTAACTGGTTACCTGCTGAGATTGGAAGCTCTACTGCCATTGAAGTTTTTCTTTTTTTCTCATTTGAAGTGCAGTACGTGGTAGGCTATGGGCCCCTGGGAAAGGAAGCAATATAGGAGTCCTAGACAGCTTGAATAGAGAATATGTGGACATAACAAAGGAGATAGGACCATAGAATGTCAATATTTGCAACCTACTAGAGAATACATCTGGTTTTCCCAAATCTTTATTTTATCTGACATATTAGCCAAAGACTATCACTTAGTAAGGCTGCATTCCACGTTGCAAACACTTTCAGCCTGGCATCCTTTGCTCAACCCTGCAGGCAGCAGGATGGCCTTCCCATGTGTCTCTCTCTGCTGTTCATGCAGGTCCTCCCAGCACTATCCCCGGAGTCATTCCCGCTTCCGGTGAACTTGTCAGGAGGTCCTTTGGAATAGCATCTCCAGCCACCAACAGATGGACCCCAGGAACCACTCAGACTATAGGAAGACAAGAGGCAGGATGGGACAGAGTTGGTTTGACTCCAGGAATCAGCAAAAGAACAGCTTCCATGAAGAGAAGGCGAACCTCAGGAACCACTGGGGCAGTAGTTGCAGATCCAGTTAGCCAGGTAGAGAAAACCATCTGGGCAACAGTCTCCATTCCAGAGAGTCCAGCTTCGGCAATCAGAGGCATGTCCAATACAACAGAAGGTATTTGGGTATGGGGCGCCAGAGGCTCAGTAGCAAATAGCGCTAGAGCCAGTGAGGAAGGGAGAGAGGCAAGAACTACTGAGGCGGATAGGCCAAGAGAGGAAGCAGAGAGGGTCAGAACAGGCCTGGATGCAGACTGGATGATCACAGGGACCTCTAGGCCATCAACCCTGGTCTCAGAAAAATGGGTGTGGGAAACCCTCCGAGAAGCAAGACTGGTTTCTAAGCCACAAGCCCTGGGCTCCATTGAAGGAACCACCCCAGCTGCAGGTGTGTGGACCTTGGGGCCCACCATCATAGAGATGGCATCTATGGAAGGAAGCACTAAAGGGGACCTAGACAGCCCTGCTGGAGACAGTGGTCCCCAAGCAACGCCAAGCCAGGACCTGGCAGCAGGACCCCTGCGGCCCCCAGGCATGGGGTTCTCCATGAACAGGTAAAACCCCAGGCCCTCCTCTCGGTTGGGGCTCCACACTTGCTCCTGCCCCTGGCACATCCCTCAACAAGCTAACCTCTATGCCCCTCTCCATCTCACTTCTCTCCCTTTGTAACCACAAGACAGTAGAGGACAAGGGACATAAAAATCAGATGCTTTTCCTCATTCAAGGTCCTCGCTAGGAGAATCTGAGTATTTTCATGTGGTCTGCAAGCAAAAATCTAAACAATAGAATAACAGAATATTTAGGTGAAACCATTGGGACTTCTTTTTTAAAGATGAGGAACAAAAGCTCCAGAGAGGGAACTTGACTTGGTGAAGCCACGAAGAAAGATTGCGGTGGAGCCAAACGCCAAGGGTACATTCCCTGACTCTCAGTCCTCTTTCCCACTGTGGTGCTTCGGTGGGGCCCACACACAGGCAGTGGAGCCAGAAAAAAGAGCTGGGGCTCGGGAACCTGAAAACAGGTCTTCTAGTCCCAGCTCTGCTACTAACCTACCGTGGAACGAGGGCAGCCAGCTCACCTTGGTCTCAGCTTCTCACCTGTAAAATGAGGGGTGAAGGCCAAATGGTGTTCAGTCTCCTATCCAGCTCCAACTTCCCCTCTCCTGTGCTCTGCCCCTACCACCTCCGCTCCAGAGCTTCTCCAGCAGAGAAGGTTTCTTGGGTCCTGACCCCAGTCTCCACGGTGCTGTTCCTGCTTACACTTTTGGCCCTTGTTCTGTTGGGAAAGAAGCTGCGGAGAAAGAGCACCTGTGAGTTGAGTTTGAGCAGCCCCAAGTTTGGCGGGGGAGTGCTTGTTCCCACCTGACACCCTCAGGACTGGGAGTGGGGTTTGGGCTCAGAGTTGGTGCCAGGACTTCTGGAGGTAGAAGTGCTAAGTTCTGAGCCTTTTAACCATTCTCGGCCTTGGTTTCTTTATCAATCCAATGGGAAAATCATCTCTGTACTTATGTCTCAATGACATCCCAGAGCTTAAGGATGATCTCTCCCAAGACACACACTAACCATAAGCATATGAACACATGAGTGACCCCAACAGCAGACAGCAGGAGTGCAAGCCCCAGATGTGGGACTAAACTACTTTTGTACCCTCTGTATGGCCCAGCTGAAAGTCTGCTACAGCAATATGCCCAGGTTTCAACACTCCTAAAGTGAGTCCTCCATGGTGTATAGATCTGGCAAAGAAAGATTGATATTTTCTGGGGGCAAGTGGAAGAGGCTAAGATTCTCTGACCCAGGGACCCAATGGCCTGGCCCAGTCCCTGTCAACCTAAGTGCTCAATTGCAGTTCTGTGTTAGGAAGTTTTTGAAGGGTTGCAGTGGGTGGGGGTGGTTCTTGGGGAATCAGATTTAGTGCCTAGTACCCTCACAGTGTGCTCTGTGTTTGTGCAGCTCAGGAGACAGAAAGTGCAACAGGGATCACCTTGATTCAGATGACACGTTTCCTGGAACTAACCCTCCAGCCAGATGAGCTGCCCCGTATGGAAAGGAAGTTGTTCCAGGATGATTCTCCTCATATCCATGCCACCATGACAGTCCCGGAGAGGGTCTCTGGACCCTGAGGAATGGAAGGATATGATGTTTGGTCACTGTGGAAGGAGAACCAGGTCCGAACACCGTGGCTCAGCCTCTTTTCTCATCCTTCCTCTACCTGTACAAAGGGAAGCTAATGGAGCTGGGGCTCCACCTGGAGAAGCAAAGGCTGACCACTACTAGGCCTATGTTAGGCCTATGAATGTCACAGCCAAAGGCGACGGTGGGACTCAAAGAAGGCTTCAAGAAAGGATTTATTACATACTGATGGAGTTCACCTAGGAAAAGAGTGGAGTTTCTGTTCCTGGGGGTTTGAATATTTAAGAGGCTTCCAGTCAGTATGGGGAATTACAAATTCTCAACCATCACTTCTAGTCCAAACTAGTTGCCCCGTTTTCTGACACCTGTTAGCATTCAGCCTGTGTACATATTGAATTACATCCATGTATACTAGTCTCGCCTTCTCAAGTAGATCCTAAGCTCTTTAGGGAAGAAGTTGTGTTTTATCCATCTTGCTATGTCTGCAGAGAACTTCCAACTCAATAGATCCCCCCATAAATATTTGTGACTGAATGGCTGACTGGAAGGGCATGGGCTCAATGGCCTCTGGAGACTCTACCCGTGCAGGTGCTCTGACACCTCCTTTATTTGGGAGTCCCCTCGATGACTCCATAGGCAGGTGGTTTCTACATAGATACCAAAAGGAACAACACCTAGTCCTCAAATTATCCTTCCCCGAGGCTCAATATGCTGTGCAGGCCTTTGGGCCCAGTCAAGATTTTCTGGGATTTTCCTAAATTCATGGTGGAGGAGGGTATTTTTCGGTAGCTTCTCACTTCCTTCACAAAGCTCCTCTTATTCAACTGTTTATAAAGCCTTTATAGCAAGAATGTTGATGAAGCTGAAAAATGGTTGTGGCTCAGAGTAAGGGATGGGGAGGAGGGGTAAGAAAGAAAGTGGCCAAGAGGAATTTTATGTGGATTCTGCTTTCAAACCACTTCATCTCATGCCTTTGGGGGACTTTTGCTTCACCCTGAGTCTCCTTGTGCCTGAACTTCATGTTTGAGCAGAGAAGCCTTTGAGCAATAGAAGAGAAGGGAAAGAAAGGCTCCGACATCAAATTGAGAATTGTCAGGTAGACATTCTCAGAAGACTGACCCCTAAGCCGTCAGTGGCACCAGAAACCCTTTGTCGATATCTTCTCATCATAGCTGGTGCCGAACTCAGACAATGTCCCAAGAAAATCAAGGAGGTGCTGTCTTCACGTTTGTGAGAGAGAGACTCGTTTTGGATAAGCAGGGAAGTTGCATGCATCTAACCAAATGCAACTACAGAATTTCAGAGCTAACCTATCCAAAACCCTCAGTCTAGTGTGAGGTAACTAACACTCTTCAGGGGAAAATAACTTGTTTAAAGTCACTCAGTTAACACAGTGATAGCAGCATGAAGACGAGAAGAAGGAACTCAAGACCTTGATATAGTGCTTCTCCACTTCGCCATTACTAATAATATATCAAAGCAAAACTAATAAAAAGTTAAAGACAAAAGTCGTCTTGCTCTAGACTATTTTCATGCACACTTCTGTGACTCACCTGAAAAATCTGTAAGAGAGATAGGGCAGCTGCCGTTATCCCATTCAACCAATGAGGAAGCAGACCTTGGGGGATATGTAATTCAGCCAAGGTCGCTCTGTTCGTTAGAGGCAGGGATGGGCCAAGAACCAGGTTGTACAGGATCATTCCACCTAATTAGTGTTAAGAGGTATTATGAGGAAAAGTAGATTGATTTGGTAGATCAAAGAAGTTTGGCAAATGAGGGTTAAACAATAAACAGCTTCCTCTGCGTAGGATTTTTTTGGAGCCTTTAATACACTAAGGGGCATTGTGAATAGGGAAGTTATGCCTGTTTCCCCAGCACTTTGGACTATTGTCTTTTGCTGAAGCAATCTCACAGGACTGGGTTCTTCAGATCACCCCTTTCTCCGAGAAGCTCAATGCGATAAACCAGGGATCAGCAAAACTTCTCTGCGAAGAGTGTTAAAAACAAACAGTGAGCCCCAAATGCTAAGCCCCACATCACCAAAAAGACTTAATTATAATTTCAGCTTCTCCCAGAAATGGAATCTTACTTAAACCAGTCAACCAGGAACCACTTGGTCAGCCCTAGCAAGGTAATCTGCCTCCTGGATCCCTAAAGAAAAGTGACTTCGCCAGAGCCAATTCACTTTTCGCTGGTATGACTCACTTGTCCTGCTCCCTTCTGCTCCTAAATGTTGTCATTTTGTGCAGTTTCTTGGAACTCCTTTCTATGGGATGCTGCCTGACTCATGAATTGTCAAATAAAGCCAAGAAGATCTTTAAATTTTACTCAGCTGAATTTTGTTTTTTAACAAAGGCCAACTAGTAACTGTTTTAGACTGAGCTGGCAGTCAGCCTCTGTCACAATCACGTAGTTCTGTTGCAGTATTGAAACAGCCAGAGACAACACATAAACGACTAACTTTGGCTGTGCTCCAACAACACTTTATTTACAGAAGCAGAGAGCAGGCTGGATCTGGATCTGGAGCCATAATTTGCCAATCCCTGCACTAAGCCATAAAACCATACAAGACTCTCCTGTCCCTACTCTGTGAAGAGTCAGACCCCGTCCTTCCTCAAAGCTCCCCTGAGCACACCTCTCAGGGACTTCCCCTTCCTCCAGTGCCTATAATACTTTCTGTTTAGGATTCAGCAATTAGGTCGTCCTGCCTGACAACCCATCTTAGGAGAAAAAGACCAGCCTGGCAAAGATGTTGGCCAAGTGGCTGGAGTTGGGGGCAGCATCTAGAAGTAGGAAAGACTCTCTAGTCAGGGTGCTATAGGGAAAGCCGAGGTCCACCAGTGGGAGGAGCCAGTACAAAATCAAAGGGCCAGAGCAGAGCCAAGGTCAGAGTTGCAGGGACGAGTATGGACAGAGGTAAGATCTGAGAGAAATCTTTTCCAGGAAGGAAGTGGGGCAGCCCCGAGTATTTACAGCTCTTTTTTATGGGCCAGTCGATGCCTGGAGTGGGGCACAAGCAGTTGATTTAAAGGGCCAGAAGCAGAACAGACAAAGCCAGCCAACTCCACCATTTGGTATTATCGGTGGTTTGTTTTTCATTGTATTCCCCAGCTGGTATGACACCCATATCACCAGGATAAGAGGCAGAGAAACACCCATTACGAGGCTGGAATCAGAGATGTGTCCATGGAGATTTCTAATCCAAGATCCAGGGATGCACTGACTTTCCTATGATCCAGCAGGTTCTCTGGGTTAGGCACAACTCTCAGTTCTCCTCCATTATTAATGCCACTACTACCTGTTAAGTGTCTTTACACAGCAGGCACTATCCTAGATGTTTCCACATTTTGTTACCACGTTTGATGCAACATTTCTGTAAGGTAAGTATGATAACATCCATTTTACAGATGAGAAAACTGAAGCCGGAGAAACTAAGTAGCTAGACTCCTCAAAAAAAGGGCAAAGAATTGAATGCAAAGCGGTCTACCCCCACAGCTTAAATCCTCGATCAATATGTGCACTGCCTTCTCCATGCTTGGAATTAGAGCCTGAGTATCTGGTCAGGTCCTTCCCTGTTTATGGTTCCAAAGTCTTCCTTGTTTTCCTCCTTTATGCCTGTGTGTAGAAAAATTCATAAACATTTCCAGTAATGTGTTCTCTTCGCTAGTTAGCTTATTCCTGTACTGGCTAAGTGAAGTGCAAAAGTTTGAAGAGAACTAAAAATTTAGTCACCAGCCCTCAGGTCCTCACTGCATTTGCACAAATAGAGCTCAGATCTAAATTATCTGCAAGGGTGTTCATCTATCTCAGATAACTCAGGACAAACACCTGACCCCTGGCCAGCTTTTCCTTGTTCTCCACCAAGGTTCTGGGTTTTTTTTTTCCTCTCCTCCACCAGCCAGTGCAGTCTGAAAATACAGAATCAGTTTAATAGCAGTTTTAGTCAGATGTAAAGAGGAAGATGTTTTCATGGAAAGACCTATAGTGCACTTCAGCCAAGTTGACACAGATTACATGATTATTTTTCATTGGAGCAGACAATCCAAGGCAAAGAGCTTGACAAACATTGAATGGAGAATGGCAATTCTACACAAAAGGAAATGAACTCTGTGGGCGGCCTTGCATATAGGATCCAAAGCCACTACGCTCTCTATTTTCCATAAAGTGACACAGTTTGTTTTATAGGCACTGGCCCTCCAAGACCAATCTGTTTCCTTCACTATCAGCAGGAGGATGAGCTGTCACCCCACAGCCTGCTCTCCAGGGTGTTAGCTGAAACCCAGATGGGCAGCAGAGATGTGCCAGCTGCAGAGGAACTTATGCCACACTTCTAGAAGCATGCAGAAGTCAAGAGCACTGAGGCGCTGGGCCAGTAGGGCACCGTTTGCCTCCTGGTCTCATTTTGTTGCAGATGTACTTTCCCTAGTTAGCACCTGGAGTCTTCTGTATCCTGCCTCATCCAAACTCTGGCCAAGACCCCACCAACTAACTGCTTATGTGCTGTCTTGATCTAGATCTACCAGTTCTGCTCTGAGTGTAGAGGGTCAAATAAGGGCCACTTCTTTCCTTAATATTACAAATTCCTGGTTCCCCAACCCTGAATATCTTGGAGAGGAAGAAGAGAACCAGGACTACCATGACCAAAGGCGTTTTCTAAGTTGCCCCGTAATTTGTCAGAATATGATGTACTTCATGCCTGACAAGAGTTTTAAAAAAAGACATCAGTGAGTTTGCTTCTTCAGAGCCTGGCACGGGGAAGGTAGATTTGTTAGTAAATGCAACAGGTCTAAGCTTGTCATTTTACCAGCTCTTTCCTCCACCCATGCAGTGAAGACAACTAAAAATTAATTACAGTATATATCCCCAGAAAGAAGCAGATTGTACACCATTGTACAGATGGGAATGTTGAGTCTCAGATGGGCACAGGCTACAGAGGACCATGGGATATTTTTTCAATATCTGCTTGCCAGGCAAACCTTGGGCTGGAGGCCAGGTTCAGACCAGGAACAAGGAAGCAGCAAGTCTTCAAGAAGTTGCCAATCTCTTATAAGAGGGGTTGGGTCCTGTCACCTGATACTCTACCAGTTGATTTTGGATATCTGCTCCAAAAATCTTCCTCCTTCTGCCCTTCCGCAGCCAGGGTAT